TCAGAATAAAAAATAAAATATAAAACGTTTGATTCCCATACAATAAAAGAGTTGTAAGGTTATAAAAATTGGTACTTTCTGATATCCTCGGCCCCCTGAAAGACATTCTTGTGACAATGTGCTGTGTCATAAAAAAGGCAACCCATAACGTTGCCAAAATGTGTTTATACAGCAACCCAGGTACGCCCACATATGCGGCAAAGGTGCATCGATTTCCACTTACAGATTTGATGGCTATTAGTTTTAGTTCCATTGAGTGCATTTCTTTTCCTTCTAAACAATAGTACTACGACTGTAAAGTTGGTCAGCTGTTGAAAGTGAAAGTATAACATTTCTTTAGAAATGTAACATTGTGCTAATAGTAGAATTGTGCCTAATAGAGAATGCAAAATTCGTATTCCATGAATTTGTACTTCATCTAAAGATCAAATTTTATTATATTAAAATTTGTTCACTTCTCTAATTTTTAAAGCAAAAATAGTTCAATGTGTACATGCGAAAACAGCAGGTGCACAATACAAAATTTGTGTGCATCTCCAATTTTTTTAAGTGCATTGTAGGCAGCTTTTATACCTTTCTTCAGTTCATCATATCAACCGTTAGTTATCTCAATAAATTTTCTTACATAACCCACCCTCCTTTTTAACATTATTTACTAGCAATAACATGAATGCTATACAAGTACATAAAATCCACTATTTTGCCTGCCTTCTGCACCAACGCTTATCTGCCTTACTCTCATCCTTGTGTCTCTATCTCTGCCTGTTGCTATCGTGCTGCCCTGTATTTGCTACATTATTATAGCGACAGCCGTAAATAGATGCTATGTTCATGGGTAGAATGACAGTGTGCTCAATGCTAAGTTGTATGAGTTTCTGTAAGTCTGTGGTATTTTTTGAAGCTAAAACAGATTGCTGTGAACCTAGGAAGTGCATTAGGGTGGGATAAGGCATTTTATTACGAATGTGTTTGCATTATTAATTTTTTTATTTGTTTGCTCTTTTGTGTAATTTCTAGTACATTTTTTAAAATGGCTGTTGTCTTTTGCGTCTTAGCTTGATGAAAAATTAGTTGCCATTGAATTTTGACTTTCCATGAAAAGAGTGCAGCTAATCAGAATGTACTCAAAAATTGATTGAGATGTTTAGTTTTATATCATATTCAAGGGTCGTACACAACTTGAATAGCAAAATGTTTACAATTGTATGGGCCTGTAAATGAAATATTAATTTAAAAAATATTTTCTGATTTTAAGAGATTAATTGATGATCATTACTATGAAAAGGTATTACTTAGTATGAATATTTCAAGAAGCAGATCTTACTCAGAGAATCTTATAAATTCAGGGTGCTTTTCATTTTGCGGGCGCAGGCTATAAAGTCGCCAATAATGGTACAACTGATGACAAACGGAATATCCTCACTGGTAACGGTTTACGCATCATTTTCAAAACAAGTAGCAGCTATTTCTTATCAGATTGATCATTTCTTTCAACACTGGCATATAATTACATAGAATTTTTACCAGATAGTTCAATTTTATGCCCTAAGGCCATTCATGGTAATTAAATCAATTAAGATGCAATCACACTGCTCACCCAAAGACAAAAATATAGAAAAGGCAAAGTCAAGGGTTAAACTCATCAATTCTAAAGAGAATGCACTAGCAAAGTAAAGCACTGCGGTTTTACATAATTTCTGAGTAAGCTATTCGTATGAATTGAAGTAATTTTTGCATTTAAACTTGTATGACAAATTAAGATTTAACGTGAAACTAATGTAGATAATTACTAAGAAATTTCTAGCGTAGTCTGCATGAGATGAGATCGTTTGGTTCACAGGATATGAATCAGCGAATCAGGATGTTGAACCGTGAAAGCATAGTAAATTCTTAAATTAATGTCTTTTTATGATTTTATTGTCTTTATTTATTGGCTTTTTACAAAATTTTAAGCGATACTAAAATGTTTATGCCTTCAAAAAATTCTTAGAACAAATATTTGTTAACATTGTTTATGTGTATACTGTATGTTGTCGGCAATAAAGTCTGCATGGCGAGATTTGCGCCGGCGAAACGGAAAAGTACCAAATTCACTTTCTAGAAAACAGTAGAACATATTTGTTTTTTAACTTTTGAAAACTTGGAAGTTACTTGCATTAATTTCTTTTGGTTATTTATTAATTTATAACAAAATCATAAAATAAAGAATACTACTCACTTGTAAGTCACGTAAGAATATCATTAAATGACTTTAAATTGGAGAAATCAACTTTGAATTATTCTAATGTATTTTTTACTTGACTCCTCGAGGCAAGCCTCATCTCAAATTTTGGAATTAAAAGTTGTGATCAATTTTGGTCGTACAGGGGCCAAAAATTTGATTTCTTTTTTGATAATAAATAGAAACTTTTGCTAGTTATAAAGACCAAGCAACTGTTTAGAAAGTTAGGTTTCGTATTTTTTCACAGAATTCATTTATTAAACTTAAAAATGCCAAAACATAAAGTATTTCCATCCCTTAAGATAGTTTTGTAACTGAAAGTATATATTTATGACCATTGGTTTGGAAAATAAAGGCTGCATAAGAATTTTTGTTGGCTCAGTGTGTAGGCATATTTGTATACACATATAGACAACACACATGTACAATTTACATTCATTAGTGATGAATGTCATCAGTTCTTTTTTATGTTCAGATTTGAAATTTTATTAAATTTCATTATTTGTTTTAAAAAACTGCTGCCGATTCATTTACATTTTCTTGCTTATCATTTTCTGGCTTTTCTTTCCTCTTGTAATAGTAATTTTTTTAACATGTAAAATGTTTATAGAGATTGCATATTTTCTTCTCTGTCTTTCACTTAAAATAATATTGTATTGTTGCTAAAATAGATTAAAGGACTTCAAATATTAATAACTAGGATTATATTAGTCAACAACTTGGATTCAGCGTAATATGGTAGAAGACCAAAAATGTGACCTAAATTCTGTGCTGCCTCTCAGTTATTATGAAATTAGAATAGGTTTGATGATTTTTGTACATTCATTCAGCATTGTAAAAGCTATCATATTCTATTGAATATCACTTTTATAAACTCACTAAATTAATATCTTGCCCATAGTAATTAAATATGAACCTGTGACTGAAAACTGCCCTGTTATTTTAATCGAGTGATTTGGCTGTGTTGGTAGTTTGGTAATCTCCCGTTCTTGGAGCAGCAATCAAAATATGAAGCATAACAAAGTTAGCACTCTTGTATTTTGAAGTATACCAAACATTGTGAACTGATTATGTTATGATTCAGAGACCTTTTTCCATGAGAGGTTTTCCCGAAAGAATGAAAGTAAATTTTATGATTTGGCTGTTACTAAATGGAGAAGAATCTGCCATTAAATTTTTTCAGGTAAAATAAAAAATAAGGGTCTTGCAGTAAAAGACTTTGGAAAATAAGAATTACATTTTTTAGTAAGTATGTATTTCAAATATGTCATTAAAACTGCCATTACTGTTTCAAGCTCATTTTGTGCCATTATATTAATGTGTTGTAATAACTACTGTTCTTTGATGGGAGGAGTAACATAATTTTTAATTTGATTATGGCTAGAATTAAAAATAGTGCTTTTTTTTTTTCAACAAAATGGTGAGTACTGAATAAATTGATTATTTTCCTGTGACTGGATACTGAAAAAGACAAGTTTAACAAAATCATGTGACTTAGTGTGATTTGAGGGAAGGGGTCAGTTCAGAAACAAATTGCCATAAACATATTTTTAAAAAATTAAAAAAATATTTTTACATTTTACCAATAAAATTCTATTTAATATGTATTTAAAAAATTCATTTACAGGCCTTTTTAAAATTTATCTTTATTTCTTATTTTTAATATATAAATCTAATGATTTTTTTTTTCTTTTTATAACCCTATTTGGTAAAATGTAAAATTCATACAAATGCAGATGTTTGCTCTTCTGCTATATATTCAACATACATCCAAAATAGTCAGCATGTTAACTGAAAATTTTCAAATAGAAGTGGGTGATACTAAAACATAGAAAATTTTTTAAAGCTGCAGAAGACATATTTTGCATTTGTTTTATGGAGATGCTGAGAATGGTTACATAGTAGCCCACCAAAAGAGAATGCTGCATAAAATTGATTGAAAGATTTTAATGATAGTTTGCTTAAATTTAACAATAAAGATGAATAGAGCATGTCAATCTCTTAATGGGGGTGGAGGAGAAAACAGGATAAGATTAAGTGGTGATAACTTGAAAACTATAATGTCTGCATCATATCAGGCCTACTTTGCCATTACATTAGGTCGACAGGTAGTTGGTTGCATTTCCATGCGATGCTTAAATATGCTTCATAAATGCTGTTCAAAACATTCAAGTTCTGGACAGCATTTACGATGTTAATTTTGTAGTGCTGAATTTGTAGTTTTGTAGTGCTGGTTTAGTTTTCTAGTACACTCTGCTGGATTTTCTGCTCCTGTTCCTGTCTTTGACTACTGCAGCTACAATTTCAGCATACCATACATCACACAGTCATACTAAGATAAGGAGAACCACTGCTACTGGGATAGGCCACAAGAACAGTAACCAGGATGACACAGTGTTCTTCTACAAGCAAGATAGTATAATAAATAGCATTGCACTTTTCATCCACATCAGCAGAGTTCAAATTTCTCAACTGTACTTTCCCCTCATAATTTCATTCATTGAAATTTTATTTAGAATTCTTTTCTGTGCCATATTTTTAGCTTTGAAATTCTGTTAGAAATTATTTTTTGTATGTAAACATCTAATTTTTTTATATATGCATGTATATATTTGTAAATCTTTAAAAATTCTCGACTTATATTAAATGATCTTACTTTTAGCAAAATTTCATTATTTATGACAAAGAACACTAGTTTTCAGCTTACCAGAAAATAATATATCTGCAATAAAAAAAATATACTTATAAATAAAATATAAAACTTTGTTGTGTGTTCTAGATCCTTTCAGTGGGAAGAATGTTGCTGCTTCAGTCACCAGTTCTGATGTAGCTGATTTTATAAAATATTGCTTCAACACATTTTATGAATATTTTTCAGTGCCGCCAAAAGGTAAGAAGCAAAATATTTTTTAATTTAAGCTTTAATAGGAGGAGTAGTGTTTTCTTACTTTAGAAAGTTACATATTTATTTTCATTTATATTTGTTATGTAATGCTAAAATAATTTTTAAAAATGTTTTCTATCATTTGCGTTTAGTTTTCTTTATACAGGAATAAAAACAACACATTTTTATAATTTTGTAGTAATATTATGCAACTTTTTGTTTGTTCTTTGCTTTAAAATGAAAACTAATTTTCATTTCTAGAAGCATCATTCCTCCTCCCCCTGTTCTGAAAAATTTTCTGCAGAATGTTTTCACTCTTTTCCTCCACTTTTTGTTATCATTTAAGTAATGAGGGGAGGGGTGCAGAGAAGTGATGACATTCTTCATGTGTGCTCTTTTGATGCACTGATTAACATATCCAGCTAACAACTGGAAAGCATTAGTTCAATTTCCATGAAGAGTGTAGTCGAATTTTCAAGATTGATTGAAAATTTTTTCAGATTTTCAATAGCCACTAAATTTGTAAAAAATGATTGATACACTATTACTTTGTATCTGATTCAAGAGCACTGTATATGATATTAAATCATCATCTCTATTGGGTAGAGTTTAAGATTGATGAAGTGCTTGGAATGGCTTAATAAAAACTTTATCATAAAGGAAAGTTTAACTGAATCACATCACATCGAAAATTTTTATAAATATGAAAGTAATTATCAAAACTGCAATAACAATCTTGTATTTAGCGTAAGTATATTAAAACACTCAATTGATTTTGAGGGCAGCTAAAGGTCCCTTCTCATCAGGAGAACGGAATTCCTAGAAAGGGGAAAAAAGAAGAAAAACAAAGCATTGGCAAAGGAGTTTCAGAAGCACGTGGTCCTTATCTGCACTGCATGTGGTCGTAACCGGATTTTGAATCAGAGTTACACTGGCCACCTACGTTTACTGAGCCAGGCTACCTGATCAAACATAAGACACATAGACTAAAACGCAAGAAAATCAGCAAGTCAGAAAATAGGGAGCAAAGGGCAATTGCACCTTCACACACCAAGTCTGAACTTCAATGAAGTTCACTGCCAAACATGTGCATTACTGTTGTTGGGTGCCATTTCTGTGAACATTGCTGTAAAGATGCATTTGTGAACAATAAATAGTTTAACTTCTTTCAGATCTTATTTCTTGTGTTTGTGCCTCCATGTATCATTTGTGGCCATACATTCCTATATAAAAATGTTTGCTGTAGTGTCTCTACCAACCTTTAAAATTTTCCCTGTGAGTTCTCAGTCTCTTCACATAAGTTTTTCACACAGGCCAGGGAATGAGAAAATTTATTTCTTTATAACATACACGGAGTATAAGAAGATCTTAAGTACAGAAAGGAAAACATCAATACAGAAGTAAAGTGCCATTTAGAAAGCAATAACGTATATGGTGTTATGCCATATACAGTGCCCTTTTTGAAATGCACTTCAGCCTATTTATTGTTAATTGATAAAAGTTAAACCTGAAAGTTGTGATGCAAATTCATATTTTTGGCCATAATGTCAATATAAAATTAAACAAAATTTTTAACCTTATTCTAAAATCTAATTTATTATTATTATCATTAAACCTCATTATTGTAAACTAAACCTAATTATTATTGTAATTATAAACTTTTCTAATCATATTTTAGTATTAGCGTGATAATATATATATATATATATATACATAAGTTTAAAAAATAGTAAAAAAGAATTTAAAAACCAAATGACCAAGCTAGTCAAAAATAGTGCTTTAAGTTGCTGACTTTTTAAATGAATTTAAATAAGAAAGGAAGTTTTTAACCTTGAAAAAGTCATTAAAAACATCTGAAATTTATTATCAAAATTCCAGAAACACTTTGTAATATGAGTTAAAAAGTAAATTATCTTTTTTTTAAAAAAAAAACTTTTCAAAACGAGCACAGAAGTATTCTATTAATCTTCTCTATTCAAAGCTTCAAACATAACTTGTTGTGCTTGAATCCTCCAACCAAGTTGATTAATTAGATCATGCAAACATGTTTCATCTGACAAATCCATTGAGACTTCAGACGGTATTAATCAAACTCAAATTTTTTATAAATTTAAACTAACAAAAGTCTCTCTAGATTTGTCCTTTTTTCCTGACATGTTTGCGTGTTCTTGAGCTTTTAAAGTAAAAAATTATACATCTGGTGGGTGTATCTTAGTGGGAGGTCTTATTGTCTTATGCACACTGTGAAAAAAAAAAAGACAGTTCTATAACTCTCGTTCTGCTTGGCCGATTGATGAAATTCAAACTGCGATTTTCATTGTCCCGAAAGTGCGACTTAAGGATATATATTAGATTTATATATAGCATTACTCTAATGTAGGTATTTCGCCACAAAATCGGACTTTTCTGAAATAACATGCCAATTTTTTTGCGTATTTCGATTCTACGACTCAAATTATGCCTGAATATTAAATTTTGTAAAATTTGGTGGGAAATTTATGAAGAAATTCAAAAATTTATCTTGGCGCTATCCTTTCAGTTTGTGCTAAGAACAGTTCACTTGGGAAACTTCTTAATATATGGCAACGTATTTTCTTTTCCCTTTTTACATTGTATGTGAGCGTAAAAAACGTTACTTTGTTCTTTCTTTCAAATAATGTTCTTTATATTATTTTTTTAACTATAATTGTTATTATTTTTTAATTTTTTTTTTCTTTTTGAATTTCATTTTAATTGTTTAAATTGCATTTTTCTTTCAAATAACTATTTTAAAAATTTTATTTACTGATTCGAACTGTGTAGTTTAAATAAAAAGTGCATCGTTTACTTTTTTCAAACAGTTTTCTTTACTATATTTTTTAGTCATAGTTATTATTTTAGGTAATTTTTAGACTTTTAATTATTTGTATTGCATTGTCTCTTCAGGTAATTGTTTTAAAATTTCCTATTCATTCATTCAAACTGCACATTTTAAGTATATTTATTAATATAAATTTTCCAGAATTTGATTTTATTTATTTGAATTGCATTTTTTTCGGAAGAATACTTTGTGGCCCAGACCACGATGCATTTGAAAACTGCATATTTTAAAAGAGAAAATGCAGTAAAGCACAGTTAACACACCTTTCAGTGTTCCATTTAGAAAAGATATATAAATAAGAGACATCTGACATTTTAATTTAGGATGAGTTGCATACTTTGTTTTAAAACAGTTTTATCACTGTACCCATTGCTTTACACAATTTAATCATCCTACATTTAATTTCTTAAAATGTTATTCATATTTTCTCAAATATTTTATTTTTGAAATTTCAAGAATCAAATATCATAAACTTAAAAAAATTTTAATTAAAAAAATGAAAAATTTTATGCAAAAATTTACTCTTTCTTCTTAATGGCTTGTTCTTTTTCTTTAGGCATTTTGCAAGTATATTAAAAAGCATCCAACTTTTCGAAACATCTTGGTATTTCTGACATTAATTTTAAATAAATTTATTGCATTCCGTTACAAAAGGGCCCACAAACGGCCCGAGTGGTTGGACACTGGTAGTTCGCTCCGGGGCTCAAATCCCAGCAAACGAGCTGTTTGCAGGGGCGTTTCCATGATTTTTCTCATGTGTAGTATGTATACCAGCTGGTTTCCCTTAGAAAATTCTTCACAAAGGTATCTCTCCCCTTTTAGGCAGGTAGCCTTGCTTTGCCGTAACTTAACAATCCAATTTCCATTTCAGTATTTGGTCAAAAGCCTTTATCAGTCTTTAGAGACTAGGCATTTTGAAGGCATGAGATGAAAGGAAAGACTGGTTTCATTAAGAGGGAAATTGTCTTTAGATGATATCCATATATGTCGCTGGATAAATTCCTGAATCTTCAAATAATTCGACTGAGAAATCATGGGATGCTCCATTTATGATACGATATGATGTTCTATGATGTTATTTAAATTTATACAACCATATAATTGAAAACCAGTCGCTCTTCACTTTAATATGCAATGATATCGTTTTTGTCTTTTCTGTTAGCACAAACTCAATTGCTGCTATTTGCTGGTGTACACATCCAAGTGTTTTCTCTTTGAACACCCAACTTTCTTGAAGTAGATTTCCCTTTAAACTTTTGCTTTCCCCCCAATTTCCTTCTTCCCTTCTACATTTGCTTTCAGTGCTGACACAAAATTAAGATTTTTCGATTGTTATACTTCCGTAAATTTTGCATTCTTGTCAAATTTTTTAAAATATCAGTTGCATCAAATGCATTTCAGCTGAAGATAGCTTTTCATTTTCTAGACATTTTAACTATAAATAAAGTATAAAGCAAAGTCCAAAGGATAAATATTTGAATACAAAGATTTTTGTTAAATGAGAAAGAAGTAAACCACTCCAGCGCTTGTCCTGTACCAGAGTGACCCGATTTTTATATCGGGTGCAAACAATCTAAATCATATTATTTAGAATTTTTAAGCTTAATAATTTCTGTATTAAAGAAGATTTTATATAATATACAAGATGAGAGAAAACTACTACTTAAAACATTCTTTCTAAGAGGATGAATTAAAAAAAATTATATTTATATATATATTTTTCAAAGCTGGGACGTAACCCAAACTGTCAACATACTGTTTACTTAAAAACATTATGAAAATAAACATCAAACGAACTTTCTCAGTTTTAGACAATTCAATTTAAATGCAGTTAAAGTAAAGTAGCAGACAACACGGTGAAGGTAAAAATTTACTCTTACAAATATTTGAAAAAGAAAGGGAAGAAAGAAAGAAATTAAAAAAAGTTAAAAATTTGAATAACATCATCTATAATTTAAAAAAATAGCTCCTCATATAGTATTAATAAATATTTATTATGCATAATTGAGGGAAAAATTTCATATAACTAATTCTCCATAAAAATTTAAGGTTAAAAATAGCTGTTTCAATTCACTGTAACAAAATCCATAAACCACATTTGTTGTTATTATCGCCAAAAAAAAAAAAAAAAAAAAAAAAAAAAAAA